TTCATTTAGTTATAGAGCAATTATTTCATAATATCAATTAAGACACATTCCAATTTCCTGATGAATACATGATATTGTAAAACAAAATACCAAATCACATCCCTTGATTGACTCATACTAAAATACTACTGTAGTGAACAGAACGCGGGTGGGGACAACCAAATGTATTTAACTCAAACTTACAGAGAATCTCAGTAAAATCTGAGAACTATTTATCAAATCGTTAATTTGCAAAATGTCCACCAATTGTCTCAAAATGCCTCAGACTTCATTGTTCTTAGATTTCATACAAATTGCAATCTATCCCCACTCTTGCTTTCTTGATCTTCCCTCATCTTCTGATGCCAGACAGTACATTCCTGACTCGCATCATATACTACTTATATCAATATAAGTAGCATACACCACACTACTTATTTGTAAACTCTACTAGAAAGAACTTGTAAGAAAATATAGTTTCCTTTTAAGTATTCCTATGATTTATGTTGTCATTAGCAATACGTACTCAATTCTACAAATGTAAACAAAATTTTGATTGAAGAGCTAAGTAAATAACGTAGGCTGGTATTTCACTGAAAATATCTTTAAATGCCTATGTGACTCTAATCGGTTAAAATCTCTAATTCAAATAATACCGAATTATTTACGATTATAGTCTAAAATGAAACCCATTACGTAATCAGAATAACTGAATAAAGCAATATAAAGAATAAAAAGAAAACGGTCTAATACGAAACATTTGTGGATTAAAAGATAAATCATGAAAGTAGATAAATGGATGTATGGTGCGTGCTACTTATATTGACATAAGTAGTATATGATGTTAGTTGTGAACAGAAAGTCTGGCAGCAGTGAGACAAGAGGATCAAATAGTAAAGAATGGAACAGGATGCAATTAGTATGGAAATGCAAGAACAATGAAGTTCGAGACAATTATTGAACATTTTGCAAATGAAGTATTATAGTATGGTTTTTCTATTTTACCAAGTAACTCTGTAATTTTGTGGTAAGTATAGTTCAGTTGTCCTCATCTGTGTTCTCCTGCGCTAGAGATGTATTGTAGATTAACCTCATGAATTTCTTAGCAAGTTTATATGGTTGAAACGAGTGACTAAGACAAGTTAATAAAGCCCATATAAACACATATTTAGAGAAGATAATATAAATACCAAGTAAATAGTTAATTCCATAAGGATTAATACAATATAATTAACATTAATAACAATGACACATCTAATAAACATAAGATCTATCTGATTACATATATATATATATATGTATCCATAAAAGGAATAAATTTGTGTAGGGATAATAAAAATGAACCTGGTTAACATTCTTTATTAATTAATACTAAGAACCATCATATCTAAATTCGATAATTCCCCTTAAAGTTTCTTTCAACAATAAACATTGGTAAAACAATGTGTCACCTCGTTATTTTGATAAAACTGTTTCTTTTTTTTAAATACTTTTTTTAATGAATTCATTAAAACAAAATGGGTCATGATAAACAATAGCGTAACCATGGAAAATCTGAAAACACTGGACGATCATCTAGTCCAAGTATGAGACTCCTCAGGAGTACGCATCCACGATCCCGCCCAGCAAGATTCGAACCCAGGACTTAACAGTCTCGTACGCGGGTGATTAATCACTAGACCACTGAGCTGACCAAACTGTGTTAATGTCTAACTTCAATCAATTAATGAAGTTGCGCCACCGTCCACCATTATTATCAGGACTGATAGGTCCTGAGTTCAAATATTGCAAGGTGGGATCGTGGATACGCACTGCTACGAAGGAGTCCCAGAATAAGACAAAACGACAGTCCAGTACTTCCAGGTTTCCCATAGTGATCTAGCTTCAATTAAATCATAATCATAACTATTGAAATATCATAATCTTTAAAATCAAAATTTTTCTAAAGTCGATAGGTATTGTAAAAATTTAGAGGATGTTATAACTTGTACCCTGTGTCCTATTAATCTTAACGTAATGATACTGCCAATTAGAGAATAGTGAAGTATCGACCAAACCAATGACGCATAAAACCAGTACAAGTAGTCTAATGTCATTATAGTTCCTGCTTCCCACTTAGCCCTGCCTGTTAAGTCTAGAACACCAATCTCAGCCTCTGCAATACGAATAATTTATTTCAAACATACAGGGTTTATATACCGACCAGATAGATCAAATCGTACCATAAATTAGAAAATAATATTTCTACAAGATTTAAACCAAAGTGGATGTGAATTTGGAAGACTGTAATTAATGGACTGGGTTGAACTCAAAAACTGACTTTGAGAGTGTCCACCTGATAACTAGGACTAAATGAGGTTTATAAATCTGTGTGAGGAATTAGAATTATGATTTGCAGTTGATGGAATTACATTTGGGGTTTTTCATCACGAACTGACATCAGCTATAATGCCATAAATCTATTTAGCCAAATGGATGAGTGAATTTCGCGCCAAAATCCGAGACCTGTTATCTTACACCTGATTGCTCCGTCCATAAATTATAGTCTCGCCACATTTTCAACATAATTATGAATATGTACACGTAAATAATTGAGGTTCTACAAACTGACATTAATTAAAATAAATTACATGCCGAGATTTGACTGACTCATCAACATACTTTAAATCTGCATTTTCATCTTCTTCCACGTTTAACTAAGTATTATCATGTACTGTATACAATTTATCGCTTCTCTAGCTAAAAGGAGAACAAATATTAATCACATTAAACGTAAACAAAACTTATAAGCAATGAATAGACTGAAATCATTGTACTTCATTATATTAAGACTGAATCACTAACTAATTCTGATTAGCGTTTTTTCTTAGTGAGTTAGTTTTCTAAGGGATAGGCTCGCTAACCCCATACCTAATCCTCCTCCTTTATCCAGGCTTGAAACTGGCAATAGCCTCAGAGGGATTCCAGATGGAGTTATTAGGACTGAATACTTACTTACTTACTTACTTACTTACGCCTGTTATTCCCAATGGAGCATAGGCCGCTGACCAGCATTCTCCTACCCACTCTGTCCTGAGCCTTCTTTTCTAGTTCCATCCAATTCTTGTTCATTTTTCTCATGTCTATCTCCATTTCTCGGCGTAATGTGTTCTTTGGTCTTCCTCTTTTCCTTTGACCTTCAGGATTCCATGTGAGGGCTTGTCTTGTGACACAGTTGGGTGCTTTCCTCAATGTGTGTCCTATCCACTTCCAGCGCTTCTTCCTGATCTCTTCCTCCACTGGGTTCTGGTTTGTTCTCTCCCACAGTACGTTGTTGCTAATAGTGTCCGGCCAATGGATCTGAAGTATTTTGCGTAGACAATTGTTAATAAACACCTGTATTTTCTGGATGATGGCTTTCGTAGTTCTCCAGGTTTCTGCCCCATATAGTAGAACTCTCTTGACATTTGTATTGAAAATCCTGACCTTTGTGTTGGTTGGCAGTTGTTTTGAGCTCCAGATAGTCCTCAGTTGTAAATATGCTGCTCTTGCTTTGCCGATCCGCGCCTTCACATCTGCATCAGATCCACCCTGTTCATCAATGATGCTGCCCAAATACGTAAAGGTTTTTACATCTTCCAAATATTCTCCGTCAATTGTGATTGGATTGGTGCATTCTGTGTTGTATCGGAGAATCCTGCTTTTCCCTTTGTGTATGTTGAGACCTACTGCTGCTGAGGCTGCTGCCACACTGTTTGTCTTCTCCTGCATCTGTTGTTGCGTTTGGGATAGAAGGGCCAGATCGTCTGCGAAGTCTAGATCATCCAACTGCATCTTAGATGTCCATTGTATCCCGCGCCTCCCTTCAGACGTTGATGTCTTCATGATCCAGTCGATCACCAGGAGAAAGAGAAACGGTGAGAGTAAGCAACCTTGCCTAACACCTGTCTTCACTTTGAACGACTTTGTCAACTGTCCTCCATGCACGATTTTGCAGTGTAATCCATCATATGAACTGTGAATGATATTGACTATCTTCTGAGGCACGCCGTAGTGTCGAAGAAGTTTCCATAGTGTTGGTTTGTCCACGCTGTCAAATGCCTTTTCGTAGTCAATGAAGTTGATGTAGAGTGATGAATTCCATTCAATTGATTGTTCCACAACGACCCGTAGAGTTGCGATTTGGTCTGTACACGATCTATCCTTACGGAATCCTGCCTGTTGGTCTCGAAGTTGGGCGTCTACGCAGTCCTTCATCCTGTTTAACAATACCCTGTTGAAGACTTTTCCCGGTATTGAGAGAAGAGTGATGCCTCTGTAGTTATCACACTTGCTGAGATCGCTTTTTTCTGGTTAGCGTTTTTTTAGCGAGTTAGTTTTCTACGGGATGGGGACGCTAACCCCATGCCCAACCCTCCTCCTTTATCCGGGCTTGGGACCGGCAGTAGCCCCGGAGGGACTCCAGGCGGAGTTAAGACTGAATACTTTAGATATTTTACTACTAAACAAAAATAAAAATTATAACAGTAATCGTCAATGATTTCTCCATCCATTGACAGATGCTTAAGTTTATCACACATTCATTAGCTTTACATGATCCATGATCTTATCTAAGTACTTACATAACTATGATAGATACTATAATATTATCACCATGATTAACATTTACATGAATTTGAGATTGAGTTCAATCAGCCCAATAGGTTGATTTATTTTTTTGTTTTTTTTTTGGATTTTTAAATTTAATAAGAGAATGGGGTTAATCTCAATTGTGATTGGTTATTGTTCAAGGTCAGTAGTCAGATAGGAAAGTGAATTTAAACCAATATAATATACAGTAGTAGATTAGTATTTAATCAATCAATAAATAGATGACAGACCTATCCAGGTAAAAACTAAAAAAATTAAAAATTAAAAAATAAAAAAAAATAAAAAATAAGACAGTCCAATCATCTTTTATTCATCAAAATAACCAATCATGATAAAGTTGTAAATGTTTCATCCATTTTATAATACTTTCCCCATTATAAATGAATAAAATAGAAGAATGTAGAAATACAATCGTTTGGATCTAATTTGGATCTCCTTTCATTTCGTTTAATATATCTACATAGATACAATATCTTTTATCATTCAATGAATAACTAATTAAACACATTAGATCATTTATATATGTTTATGATAGAAATCTATTTTTGATTTTGATTTAAATCCATATCTTAAATGTAATATGAATATTATTATGAAAGAAAAGATTAAATTGAATATATATTCTATATAAGGATTGTTTAGATCTTTTTTATCATGTGGATAGTTTGTTGTCGTAAACAAGAAAGAAAAAGAAGGAAAATAAAAGAGAATTTAAAATTAAAACAAAAAGATTCTATTGATTATCAATGTAAAGATGCTGATCATGATGAGGATAATGATAATAATGGGATTAATGATCATGATCATGATCATAATGATGGAGATAAACTTAAAAATGATATGAAACTAAATAATGATTTATATGATTATACAGGAAATGGTTATTATTTTAAACAAGAAAGAAGAAGTTTACCAGATGTTGTGATACCTTCAACAAATTTAATTATCAATCATTCATATCATCATAATAATTCATTCATAATACAAAGACCTAGTTTACAAATGGATTATAAAACTGAACATAGACCAACAATCCTATTAGAAACTATAATTCCATTAGCTAAATCAGAAAATATTGCGTTAGATGATAATTTAAATGATAATAATAATAATAATAATAATAATAATATAAAATTAAATATGAATAATAAAGATTTTATATTGAATAAACGAAGAGCTCATAGTTTGATATCAACTTATCAACAACAATTAATCAATAATCATAAATTATATCAATCAAGAAAATCCGATATTTCACAAAATCATAATAATGATCATAATCAGAATGAAAAAAAATTAGTTACTAAGAAGAAACTTAGTTTATTTAAAATGAAATCATTAAAACGTTTACGTAAATCTAATAAAGATCATTACAATACAATTCAATCACATTCATTATATAATATAATAAATGATCAAACAAATATGATCACAACTATAAAAGATAATCTATCGAATAGTTATAAAATGAAATCTTCTATAAAATCTATGAAACAGTCGAAATTATTTTCATTAAATAAATCATTGCATGATAATATGACAACAGTTAAGAATGAGAATAATCATGATGAGAAAGATTGTACTGAATCATTAGATGATAGTTTAGGACAATTACCTATTACTAAAAATAATTCTATATTCAAGCATATTCATCATCAACCACGTCAAATAACAAAACATTCTGATTTTATAAAATGTAATAATATTGATTATTTATCTAATCATTCTAATCATAATCATAATCATAATAATATTGTATTAAGACGTGGTTCACTTTGTATTTTTAGTCAAATTGATGAACCGATTGTAACACCATTTGCTCAAATATTGGCTAGTTTAAGAAAAGTTCGATTAAATTTTATTATATTAACAAATGTGACAAGTACAAGAGAGTAAGTTATCATTTTTACATGGATACAATTTTATTTTGTTTTATTTCTCCTTTTTTTATGATATAATACAGATTTTAATAGTTGATATCATAAGTCAATTGAAGATAGACTATTATGTAAAACTTAGAAGCACTAAAAGAATGTTTCATCCTATTGTGAGACTCCTGCTTGACGGTGCACATCCACGATCCTACTTCACAAGATTCATAACGATCGTCTAGGTATATACTGAGCTTATATACCGACCAGGCAGACCACATCGTACCATAAAATAGAAAATAACATTTGTACACGATTTAGCCGAATGTGGCTGTGAATGTGGAAGACTGTAATTAATGGACTGAGTAGAACTCAAGAACCGACTTTGAGCGAGTTCATCTAATAACCAGAACCAAATGAGGGTTATAAATCTGTGTGAAGAATTAGAATTATGATTTGCAGTTGATGGTTAGAGTTAGGAATTTATTTATTTATTTATTTTATCTCTTTTTTTTAACAACTAATACAACATATGTATATATCAGAAGGGTTTTTGCGGATATGATAATAATTTCAATGGTTGAAATCATGAGCCGTCATGGAAAATCTGGAAGTACTAGACGGTCCTTACGAATCTTGTGAAGTGGGATCATGGATGCTTACTGTCAATCAGGAGTCCCACAATAGGATAAAACGTTCTTTTAGTGCTTCTACGTTTTACATAATAGTCTAACTTCATTGACTTATGATATCAACTATTAAAATATGTATTATATTATTTTCCAATTCGGTTACATCTTATTATTACATCTTCAGTTAAAAAACTTAAACTGTACTATTTTATCTATTCTGTTATGACTTTATGTCCGGCTTTTTATCACGTGATTTATCCACCAATCAAAATACGACCTATACAATCTTAACATTATGCCAAACCAATGACGTTCAACCGGTATGAGCAGTCTAGCATCCTTATTGCTCCTATTTCCTCCTAGCCCGTCCGCTTGAGTCCAGAACTCAATACCATCTTCCGCAATATGAATCAAATCGAATCATTTATTTCAAACATACTCGGTCTATATATCAGTCAGACAGATCACAACGCACCATAAAATAGAAAATAACATTCATACACAATAAAGCCAAAAAGTGGCTGTGAACATGGGAGGCAGTATTTAATAAACTGAACATAGCTTAAGAACCGTAAATCGTACAATAATAAATTATAGATCAAAATGAAGCTTATAATAAGAGGAATATAAATATGCATAATCTAATCATTGAGTAATTACACCATAAGAATACATAGGTAATATTAGTCAATTAATGTCTCAGAAGTTACTCGTGGTTTAATCTTCTCTCGGATATAACATATTCATTTAATATATATATATAAAATCTAATATAAATAGGCAGAGAAGAATGAACAACAATTGGGTATAACCAGAAAAGAAGGTGCACGACAGAATGGTTTGGAAAATGCTAATCGGTGGCCTATGCTCTACTGGCAGTAACAAGCGTAAGTAAGTTAGTAAGTAAAGCGCCAAGAAAGATATGGACCACATAAAATAAACAGAAAACTTTCTAAACAAATAAAAGTAGGTAAAGGAATAAAAATGTAAAATAAGAAAAGTAAATAATAAGAGATACATGATAATTAGAAATAAAACAAAGAAAAATTGCTTCCAGTAAAAGGAAGTTCATTTCACTTTTATAAAGAGTGAAGAAGTAAACTTCAACATTTATACGAATATTCGTTATTATTTAAACAAACAGTTTAACAGAATTTAGGCTCCAAGTTTAACGAAGACATCATTTATAAAAAAATTATATGTGAAATAATAATAGTGATTGAAATTTACATAGTTCGAATGTTTCGTCCAGTAAACTTGTCTGAACTTCTTCAGTATACTAGTCAAAATTGTCAAAGAATCTATAGTGTTTAACAAATAAATCAAATCTATTCTGTGTTTAGTAAGGAGGATAATATAAGTCAGTGAGTTATGATTTATATGAATAGTTCACAATGTGAAAATAAATGAGCTAAGGTGTGTGTGTATGTATGTATGTGTAACTTTATGCTATGAACAGTTAATATTCAGTGAATCATCTGCTTATTAAAAGTGAAGACAAAAGTAATAACTGACTTGGTATTGTTTGTTTGAATCTTCCCATTGATGTTTAGGACTACAATTGACTCGAATTCAGTACCGTTCATTTCAAACGCCATCGCGTTATTCACTTAGCTACTCAGTCCCAAAGTGAACATCAACTCTGAAATGCAGGTACATCCAGCTGACGAGTCTAAAATAGGACGAAACGCGCGTCCTGGACTATACTGCTAGCCACTATCTATCTTTGCATACAAATTGAAAATGGTTTTAAAACACCGATGTATATGTAAAATGAGAATCATCAAATACATAATTTTAATGATAAAATATTAAAATTAATTTCTGTCAGAATAACAGTATATGTGAAATAAACAGGTTGGATAGAGATCTAGTTCAATTACTTGTTAATGATTATTTCTCAAGGGGTGGCTAGTTGAATACTTTCTTTTCTCTTCAAGTTGTTCTTATCAGCTCATATATACAGAGCTTCTGCTGTCAATCTTTTTTGTGTGCAAAACCCTTTCTGAGCTATTTTAGTCCCCTCAAAGTTTATTTTGTGTCGTGTTTCTAAAGCATTTAGCGCTATCACCGACCTATTCTAAAGTTTTTTAGATCAACCGAGGATTTGGAAACATGTTTTAAATATTTTTTGTGTTCCTTCAACCTCATATTCAACTGTCTATATATTTCTTCGACATAAGTTGCATTACAATCATGAGAATTGATCTCGTAGACAACATTCTACTGTTATTTTTTTGAAAACCTATTGTTAACCCCTACTAACGCTGATCTTATAGTATCACTGACCTGAACATACACTTTTATGCTTGTTTAGAATACTCTTAATTTATTCTGGCGTTTCTTTACGGTATGGGACGACCATGGTGTTCGTCCATCCTTTCGGTATACACTAATTTAGTTTTCCTTTCATTTCTAACAGTCTTCTTTGAGAACTGTTTAGCATAATTGTTTGCTCTAATTGTAGATAATATTTCATTCAATTCAGTTTGTTGGTCTTTTCTGTGATGTGATTACTACTTCTATTAATTAAATTCTCTACCACTATGACATTCTCACAATAAGCATGAGCTTAACCGTAATCTATGTATCTGTCGGAATGTGTCAATTTCCTGAATGCATTAATTTTTAGCTTACTATTATGTCTTCTTACAGCCAAACAATTGAGAAACACTAGTCTGTAGTTAGTGAATTCTGTCTCACCGATTAGCTTAATGTTATCCGATATGTTGTTCACATTTTTCCAAATATTTCTTCTAAACTATTTCGTTTAATGATGAAAAATGTCATATGCATACAATAATTAAACTTTGGGTACATATATACACTTTGTGATCTCATTGGTTTCTAAGGAATGCGTGAATAAACTTGCTACAAACTGGTGAACCCATTATCACATCTATTTGTCTGTAAAGATCTACTCGGAATAGGGAAAACTAACTTTGGCATGTTCTCCACTAGGTTTCATTCCTTTTTATATCTAACAACTTAACCCACAGAGTCACACCATCTCTAGAACCCTAACTAGGGGGTTTTGATATGCTAACAGGTTCAAAGCCACCATTAAACTCCTGATAAGCACTTCAAAATGAGCAACGGTCCTGAACATATCCTCAATAATTGTAGTTGATCAGAACATGATCAATCTGAGTTCAAGTTTAAATAGCAAAAAATGATTAGCAGATGGAACGCTTGTACTGACCAGAAACAAATTATGGTCTGCATGAAGCTGGAGGAAACTGTCACAATTATCTGAGCTGAAACCTGGCAGTCCTAATTACCCACCCAACTGACTCTATTCTGTATCCAGACATCTTATCTGTGCATTCAAATTTCTTGTTCGCACTACAATCTCTGTCAAATGAGTCTCTTTAAAAAGGCCATTTAATTGTTGGCAGAACTCATTCTTGATTTCAGAAAGGCATAATCTTACATAGTTTCTTCACATTTTATTAGGACCTTCTAACCTAATGGTATACAGGACTGTTGATAGAGATCCAACAGATGAGTGCCAGGGTCCTCAGATAAGTACACGTGAAATAAACTTTTCAGATTTACAAATAAGGAATGAGTCTCATAAAAAGATCTCAAAAATAAATCAAGCTTTAATACTTTAAATTTCTAAATAACCTCAAAACAGAAATTATCTTCATGAATCGCTAATTTTTATGAGTTTGAGCCTCATCTTATGTAGTCAATTAGTTATTCTAAGAAGATTGAATTAGTATTACTTACAGTTAGTGTATATGAACAGCTTTGTAAGTTTTCTTTGTAATATATATAGTATTGGAAAGCGTTTAAATGCCAGGTAATTTTCGAAGTAGAATAATTTCAAAAGCTAATAATATTGTCAAGAGAGTAAATGAGAACTTTTTAATTAAACCATTCAACTCATAGAACATTATCATAATCAAGAAAATCCATTAGCGATAAATCAAAACATTTCTTATCCTATTGAAGACTTGATAGTTACATATACATATATTCCAGTATTATTTTTCACATTTCAATTATTTAAACGATAGATTGATAAAGAATATTTTAATTATCCCCAAATTTTATCCTAACATGTGTTTATATTCTAGTGAACTAATAGGTTTTGCTCTAAACATTGAAAAGGTGATCTCTGGATAAGTTTTCTGAATGATACGCATTTATGACAGTATGCATTCATATCTAGCTCAAAATACTGAATAAAAACAAACAGCATTAGAGGTTTTTTGTGGATATTAAAGTCATTTCAACAAATGAGACCATGAGTCAATTGAATCCAGACCACTATGGATAACGTTGAAGCACTGGATGGTCGTTGGATGCTGGCTGAGTGGTCTAGATGTTAGGTCCTGTGCTCAATTCTCGCTAGGCGGGACCGTGGATGTGCATTGATGA